GGAAGCTCAGCCTACTCACCAAAGACATGTATTGTGTACACATGTATTGTGTAGCTAATCAGCTACACAATAGGATATAGAATCTATCCTTTTGTCTTAAGTATTAGATCATGCTATCTTTCCTGCAGAACTGCTGTATCCGTGTGATAACCTGCATTTTTTGGATCTCGTATCCTCTTGGGAGGGTAAGGATAGTCAACGGTCTCTGTTCCTAGCTTTGAGGCTGGCCCACCCTCTCGGCTAAGTCAGTAGACCAGAGGTAGACTAGTCCATCCACCTGTAAAAATGAGACACTAATATCGACTTCAATTTGTGCTCTAGGGGAGCTGATAAATACTCTCTGAGGTAAGTAACACAGAGCAATCTCGCTTGGGCATACCATTAAAAATAAGGCGAGGGCCTTATATTCCACTTGGGAAAAAGTGAAGAAGGGAGAAAGAAACTTAAGTTTGCCTCTGGATGGCCCTTCTCAAGTTACAATATACCAAAAAATCCCAGCAAACTTGCACTGCTGCCCTGGCATATGACCTCACACAGCAGAGTGCTCCCAAGCTCAGGCAGCCTGACATAAGCAATGGGGAAAAAAAACAGAGCAGACACAGAGAGAGGGAGAGAGAGGGAGCACCACCTATCTACTCACTCTTCATGATCCAAAAACACATTGTCTGATCTCTGACACAATACACACGATGATCTCTGAGAAATTCAGAAAATCTCGTTGTGCAGCACAGACACTTTTGGCAGCAGCAAAGACAGATGTGCTCTCTGATGGTGAGCTCTTCGTCTTCAGGCAGTGAGGTGCTTGTTCCTGAGTAAAGCAGTTTGCTCTCACCTCAGGGTCTAATTGGTTTGCCAAAGTATTGTATTGCACAAGTGGCACTGAGTTTGTAAAACACTTCCTCAGGTGGCCTATTTGACACCACACAGCAGATGGTTCACTGCCCGTGCAGCAAAGGAGGCCAGTTTGGGGTTCCAAGAGGGTCATGGTTTGGTCAGACAGCAAGCAGCTGCACTCATTGTGCAAATGTTTCAAACTGTTTTGCTGAAGATACCTGGGTGATTTCTTTGTAATTCTACCTCAACTCTTCTGCTGCTTCAACGCCTTCACCTGGAGGTACCTATCAGAACCAGACAAAACCAACCAACAAACTTCCTAGAGATTCAACCTATTGGCACTCAAAAACATTCGCAGATTGGAGTCCAAACCAGAAAGCTCTTCTGCAGAAAGCTCTTCTGTTTGCCAAGCTCTAGAAAGACTGCTACATCCATCCCATTCCTGTAGGATGCTACTGCTTTAGTTGCCATAGTGTTTAGCATGGGTAAGATACATAGATTTCTATGAGTTTAAACTGGCTCTGTTCACTGGGGTGCCTTGCATACCTAATGGCAAGCGTGTATATTCTAATACCGCATACAATCTGCTGCCGGATATGTTCAGAAGCTTGGCTAGATTTTTAAAAGGCCTTTATGGCAGCTCAGGCATGACAGTATCTGCTAGAGATGGTTTCAGAACTTGAAATCTTTACTTGTCTTCATGTTGGAGGGAAGCCCATTAAAGACCTTCCAGATCTCTCATTGCTATGACTCTTGCAGTACCTGGTATTACAGTATGACACACAGAAACTTGACAGACAATAGAAAGGATGATAGATAAAAGGTTGTCAGATCCCCAGGTGTACTTAACAACTGCAGTTTCCACTGCAGCAACCCGGCCCACAGATCCTCCCAAAAATCAGGATAGGGCTTTACGAGTTTTGCAGGCCTAATAGGCATCCCCCTTTTTGCAAAGCTTCAGATTGTTATTAAATATCGATAGATTTATACAGCAGCCTAGGAAATGAAGCACAAATAAATGCAGGATAGGTCAAGCCTTATTGTCCTTATTTGTGACCGAGATTTTTTCAGTAGAAAATAAACTGGGATTGCAGTGCATATCACAAGTAAATTCCAGAGAGAACATAAACGCACAATAGAGCAACGCAGAGTTTGCAGCTGATTTAACACAGCTCAGGAAAGAATAAAACAACTGGCTGCTCAGCTTTGCCAAGCCAGAATAGGTGATTCAGTGCCCTCGTCTATCATGCCATGAGTCTCGTATCTCACATGCAGCCTCAGCTGTCTTTCCTCTTGAGCTAGGAAAGAGTAAACAATCTCCTGTATAAAGTGCTGCTAGCAATATTTATCCCACTGGCTATGCTAAATAACATGGATAGAGCTGGATGCTCATTGCTGGTTTATTGGACAGTATTAATTTAACTCCCAGGTTTCATAAACTTTTCAAAGGTAATTGCTTAACCTGATAGTCCTGATGTTCTGGTTTTTTTCTCCTAATGTCAGTTTTTGCTCTATTTTAATATATCCCTTTTCATTTCCTTTACAGCTAAGTATTGGTCAGAAAAAGCAGCAGAAATTTCCCTTACAGCAGCTACTATAGGATCTAGTACTGATTTTAAAAAAGAATAAAACTGTAGCCTGCTTTTAAAAAAAAGTCCAGTGAACCACAGCAAGAGGATTGTTTGGGAGCAGTTGGAGAGAAGACTGCACCTGCGATTTAACTTATTATCCTAACTGTACGAAACAAGTAGCTGCAGTAACATCATCACATGGAGAGTATGGAAAAGAACACAAACCAAATGGAAAGCTTAATCTACGTTTCTGATACAAGCTGCTTAGCAGCCTCAACTCTACAGCTATGGGAGACAGTGGTACGTGGCACTTACCAGGATCTGGCCTCAAGACAACTCATTTTCTGCAGTGTGCAAACACGAAATGAAAAATAAACAGTCTTGTGCTAGGTATGGCCTGGACAGTGTCTAAATGATTTAAGATTTGTGAGCCTAAAAACCAGAGGCAGTCAACGGGCTCTGCACTGTGTACCTATGCCTCTTTTTTTTTTTTTTTTTTTTTTTTTTTTTTTTACATAACCTCACTTATTTCCTCTTATTTCTTCATACGTGCCCAACAATTCTCTGTTGATGCTGCTACAGTTCTGCCCACAGATTGTTCTCTTTGAAACCGCAGTTTCTTCTGGGGAAGGATCAGGCATCAACAGAAGAACAATTGCTTTAACTACGTGGAACAGTCGAGCTCCAGCCAGACTGAGGCCTCACAGAAGTAGGTCCAGTACGAACCAGGATAAAGTACAGAAAGACAAGTCAACTACTAAGAGGAAACGCAAACAAGTGACCACTGGAGGTGGCTACACAGACCAGCCACATGCATATTGTTATGGCAGAACAGGCAACTTAAGGGTGACAATTTTATATTTTTCTTCTTATCAATAGCTTTCTTTAGCCTAGAGTCACTCATCAAAACTGAAATTACATAGGTGTGTTTTGTCCAGTCCATTTTTCTGCACTCTGGCCTGGGAATTCAAAACCTTAAAATAAGACACTTCAGTCCACTTTCATTCTCAGGAGGCCTCCTCACTCCTCCACAGAGCTGTAGCCGGGCTCTGACTACGAAGCCATCATCCACATCTCCAGTGATGGAGAACGCAGCTATAAAAGGCCTTCAGTCCTGTTGACTTTAGGCAACAGAGTGAGTGGAGGCCCATACAGGCTGCATGGGACTGGGCTGACTTGCAGCATCAAAAACATGCAGATTGAAGACAATGCAGTTTGACAATTAGGAGCAGCAGCAATCAGGAAGTGGCCCAAGACAAAAACAGGCTACCCAGCATGGGGCAGAATAAAAAGCACCATAATCCCCATCTGGGCAAAAGGTTACAGAAAAGAGAAAGAGGGAGATAAATTCTGTGTGGTTAAAAATTAAATTGTTTTGTATGTTACTACGATTCATACCAATTTTAGAAGCAGGGGCTGAGTGCACTAAAGCCCAAGGCGGGAAGAAGAAACCACATTATTTACAACTCTGCAGAGATGTTCTCCTTTTCCTGCTCATCTATCCAACAAGCACCCCGACTTCTTTGTTTTGTGAGTGTGGCCTCCACCACAGGCTTCAACACTTCACTACACTATAAAATATCCCAACTACAGGCTGCTTTTGGGGAAGGCCAGCGCACAGCCATCTGCCTGAGGTCCAGCAGGCTAAAAGAAATCCAAAGGGTAAACTAGCATAAATACTGGGAAATGTTAGCCAGAAACCAGAATTTCCACTCAGGTAGAACTTCTGAAATAAATACAAAATTGGATATTTATTTCAAACTGGGCAACCCTAACAATCCTCAGAAGGTTGGGTCTCTGCACAATGCAACTGCAAGGCAGTGGCATATCAGTCTGCCTTTGAGCTAAGGAGCATGAGAGCAGGGTCTGCCTGACCTGTCAAGAAACCCAACTTGTGGCCAGGGCTCTGAGGGCTCCTAGGCTCTCGGCTCCCACCAGTCAGGCAGACTGCCAAGGTGCTGGGCAGGAAGGAAACCAAGGAGGTTTCTAACAGAAAAAAGTATCCCGCTGGAAAATTTCCGACCAACTCTAATAATGGGCCTACTTTCAGAGTCAGGTATGGCGCTGGCAGAAGGTAGGGTGATCCACTGCATATTCTGTTTAGTTATTGGCTTCATATGTAAATTTTTTTTATATACCAGACACATAATATCAACTGAAGCAATCCTTAAGAAGAACGGTCATAAATTCCTTCAAAATTCTCCACAGCAAACGACACTCTTCCCAAGAACGATGACAATTGTTAATTGGCGCTATTCAGAAAGTAACGTTTTCTTTGGTAAGGTCTCTACTGCTTTAGGCAACCACATGTACTTTTGGCAGCATCTCTAGACAAGCCTTGCTGGCAGCATACAGCCTATGCCTCGCTTGGAAAGACTGCATGAAAAAACAGCTCACTTTCCAGTTCCAATTCCAAGGCTTCATAAACTTGGCAAGGCTGACAACACAACTTGGCCTGACTGCAGGAATAGCTGATGCCTGGTAGGTAGCATCCTGCAAAACTGCCCAAGAAGCTCCTGCACATGCAGTTACTCTACCAAAGGAGACCTTCTTAGCCCAACTTCCTGCCTACTAACAGTTGACCAACCTACATACCGTTCATTGTTCAGGGTCATTCTTGGAGGATCAAGGTTGGGGTTCTCCATGGACTCCATCTGAGGACAGCGTAGGAAGTAGTACAGCGTGTGGAGCGCGTCAGGGGACCAGGAGATTGGCTGTTGCTGCCGAGTTTGCCGAACAGGGCTCATGCCTGGGCGAAGGGTGTTCAAGCACTGCATGTGGTGCATTGCTCGTGATACCAAATCACCTGCAGAAAAAGAAAGAATGCAAAAGCGTCACTTGACTATTCACCCACAATGCTTTTAAGTACGTTTTTTCCAGCTAAATAGAATCTCTGACAACTAAGAGAAATGTCCTTTGTGTGCAAATATTCTTTATCCTCCACTAAGTCAAAAGCTGCCCTCAAGCTGCCACTTTGTGGATTGCTGAACAGGAAATTTAACTTTCTTTCAAATGACAAGTTATTAGTTAGCAAATACAGAATTAAACACCTCTCAATCACCATGCAATCAGAACAATAGCTTTACAGTGACTTTTCTATCCTGTTTGAATGCTGTTTTTCTTCTCTTTCCAATCACATATACCAGCTTCTTGTCTGCCCACAAAAACTACTGATACCTTTGTAAAGTGGCTGTTGTCTGAGCTAGAAGCATAGTTTACACAAGGCAAAACAAGTAGCACCAACATAGATACTTTGTTCTGGTCTCCAGCTTCACCATTTTAGGTTATGAGATTGTTCCCGTTTCTTTCAAATGGGTTACCAGGTTCTATCCTCCTAGCCAGGTTCTTGTGATAGACTAATGATGATGCGTTCAATGCAGAAATCCCTTCTTTCAGGGGTTTGCTTCTCTCATTCTCACTTTATCTGCAGATTTCTCCAGAATAACAAGTTCAGATTCTCTTATTAAAAAGTCTGTCTTTACCCTGCTGATTGTCACAAGCTGCGCCATAAATTTTCCCTAAGCCTTATAAGAGTCACAATCCAGGGGCTTTCCAAGCTGCTCAGCTCTCTCAGACTTTGAACTCTAGCAAACCTGCCCCTGTGTAGGAGCACCGGTGGACTCAGCGCATCTTGGAAGGAGGAGGCCTATGCCACGCAATTTCTGCTAGGAAAGGACTGTAAGGCTGCAGATTTATAAGAGGTTCACAGAATAACCACTGCAAGCCAGCAGCTATGCAGGGAGCCTTTAGTCGCATAAAGCTGGCGTTTGCGTAACAAGCTTGCTTTGGGCACACTCTGTTTACTCTCCTTTAATTGTGATGCATTGCAAACTCTACGTGAGCTTTGCAATAAAGGCCTCAGACACTACATCTTTAAGTCGTGTGACTGCCATCCCACTGGTATGAATGATTATTATAGATTACTATACATAGCTGGGCTCTGTTTTTTCCTTGGGAGAATCCTCTGTTGCTTTATGTTTTACAGTCCCCTAAAAGCCTCACAGGAAATGTTACTCCATTGTGTCCTACAGTTACAATACTGGGAAAGGATGGAACTGAAATAGTCACCCCCATCTCAACACTGGTTCCTGAGAAAGCACCCTGAACTTACCATACCAAATATGAATTATTTCCACCTCCCTCTGAAATTTCTAGGAAGCTGTCTGTTCGTTTATGTCTAACAGTGAAAGACAAGCAACCTCTAGCTGAATCTGTGGGGTACTAGTGTTACACAGGTTAGGAGGAAACCTTGGCAAAGCTGCTGTATGCCTAAGCAATACAACATTATTAGTGGTTCAGATTGATGGAGTGTTAACATTTCAGTTTGCAATGCAAAACCACACCACTTGTTTGTTGCATAGTAAATTCAGTTTAAGGACCCACTTTGGAATGGAAAAGTCTTCTAATGTCTCTGCCTTTCTACTTCAGTAGCTCCTGAATCCTTCTCTAGAATCTAAACGTTTTACAAGAATGTCATGAATCCTCTAGTGTTGGTACCTACACAGAAGCCTGCAGAATTAGAGAGATGCGTCTGGAATTCAAATTTCCAGCACAGAATGAAGTTCCTTCTCCCTTGCACACACTCTTTATTTTCTTGGCCATATGCAGCAACATTAAAAAAAAAAAAATCAGTAGGCAACTGTATCAGGAGATCTATTCACTACATGCAATGACCAGAAGCAGGGCCAAAGCAGGGATTGGGAAGAGAGGAAGCTGTATTCAATCACAGGCCATGCTACAAACGTTCTCTTGTGTTCCAGAATAAATAGAGGTGTGTTAAAGGAATTTGAAAACCTCAAATTAAGGCAGGTTGCAAAATAAATGGCAAAACCCACAAGCTCCTTGCTGGCCCCTGACATTCATTAGCATTCAGATGGTGGAATAATGCCAGCAGAAACGTTGCAAGGATAAAGTGGACCAGGAAAACACAAATCATTTTTGTTTACTTTAGAGGAGCTTTGTAAGTAGTCTAGGAATGGCACATTGCATTTAGTGAGCATTAAAAAAAACAAAGCTTGACAAAGTTTTTGTTATTGAACTGCTGTCAGATATTTTTTCTCCGTTTTCTGTTCTTTAAGTAACCAAAAACCTTTCTCCTGAATATCCTGCACCCTGGACTTTTCCATTGCATAACTGCTAGACGAGAACCCTGTTAGCCATCCGAGGGAGGTGTCACTGCTGTGTTCCATTAGAGTACAAGAACGCCTCTAGAGGTATCTAGACAGAAGCATCCATCTTCCATTGGCACTAATGCCACCAAATACCAAAAGGCTAGAAAAAACACATCTCGTACACCTCCAAAGTGAATTAAAGCAGTCTAATGAAACCAACCTGATTTTCATAAACAGCACCACAAGACAATTAAATCTTACACAACGTTAGCCAAATACTGTTTGCACTGTAAACAACGGCAACACTCCCACTGACCTCAACAGCAGAGAGACCAGCTCCCCTATTTCATTGAAAGAAACCCATGTTCAATGACATCTGAAACTTACTCAGTTCAGAGATGCTTCCAACACAAGTTGCCAAGAGAGACTGCTCTAAAGTTCGCAGTTCCAGCTGGGCATATGCATCAGCCCGTCCATCACTGCACACAGAGCCATCGTTGTACGGGCTAAAGTAGGCAGGCAGAGACAGCACACCTGAGGAAGAGAGTAAAGAACAGACCTGTTACAAGTGAGGTTACAGGAGTGGAAAAGCAAGTCTCTCTGCTGATAGTAGTGATAGCGAACACAACGTTTGCTCCTTTATCAGTCAGCAGACTCAAACTCTTTTGAATGGTTCAGACAAAATCAAATAGTGTTGTAAACGCCACTGGAACGACTGAAACAGTGCAATTGGGCTCTAGGGAGTAAAGCTGAATGTTTCTACATCCTGTAAAAACTAGAAACAAATTACAGTTGAGATAAAACTACATGAAAAGTTTTAGTAAAGTCTCTAATACTGCTTATATAAAAACTTGGCTGTGCACACAGAGCTCACCTTTGCACAGCTGTATGCAGATTGCTACATATAAGGGCCTGATTTTTAAGGGTGTGGAAGATAACCTCAAGTCCATCTAAGACAGATGGTAGCTGCAATCTTTGCAGCTCTCAAAACAAGACCGGGGGTTATGCCAATTCTTTGAACCTGCATGCAGTTTCAAATGTATAGATTGCACTTTCTGCATGTGCGAACCTTTGGATATGCCAAATTACATCCACACATTTTGAGGTTGACTATATTTTCACCTCCACAAATGACACCCCCCCATTAGAGAGCTAGATTAGAATGATAACTATATTGCACATTTGCATTCACCACACACACTCCTTCCTTTCTTAAGGATGTGTCAAATCTTTTTTTTTTTTTTGCACACATAAGCATTAATGCATAGTAACTGAACTGTATTACTGATTTGCAAGCAGTTTTGTATAGTTGTGACTGGAACCCCAGTCTGCTTGGTTTGTATCCTTACAACTCCTTCCGTACTGCTGCCAATTAGAGGCCATTTGTGCGAAACCGGGTGGAATGGCAGTGAAGACTGGGGGTACTACAAAAAAGCTGACATGCAGCTTCATGTTAAGAGAAAGGCTGTCACCCAAAGGGGCAGAGTCATTTGCCTCCCCATGGCCATGCTTTCCCCCCCTTAGTTTTCGGTCAAGCACAGCAAATCTGCTGCCGCATTGCAAGTTAGTGCAGCTTATGGAGCCAAAAGAATATCACCTCCCTCTCCCTCCTCCCCCCAAAACAATTAGCTGATTAGGTTTTCTTCAAATTAGTGAGCTGAACTGTTTCACCCTGTGGCCACATGACTGCTCTATGTGACACAGAGAAAAGAGCTGGAATGTGACCTCTGCAGCTGGTGTGAGACAGGGAGCAGGGATATGCGACTGAGGCTGGAGCAGGGAGTCAGCCTCTCTCTTCTGGTGGCAGCCTGCAGCGAGATCCAACGAAACATAGCGTGACGCTCCATCCACAGTGTAGGCAGACTCTGAAAAGCCTTTTGCAGTCACCTCAGCCAGTGCTCATGAATCTCGGTGTTCAGTTGCTACCGTATTTTTTAATTATGAATCTATCACACAACACCAGGAATATATCCCAGGCCTGAATATTTTCTGATTTCAGATCAAGACTCCTAGGATCCACTTCTTCCCGTTCTCTTACTCTGCTGCACCCTGTATTTTAATTTTTAATCTTCGCCCAAGCACAGGCATACCAATAACATTCAGTTCAGACATGCATTACCTTCCCAACCCAGTTCGGTCCTAGATGCGGAAATAATCTGTTCACGTTGCAGTGACCTTCTGCCCCTTAGGTGCTGTGAACTCTTGTCAAACAAAACTCTGCCAGCTGAACTGCAGCACATTGGGAAAGACCTTTGTTTCTTTGTCTTGATGTTTTCTTTTGAAATTTTATACCGAATTGATCTCTCCTACCCTTTTCACATCCTCTTCGCATCCTGCTTGGTGGCAAAGCCAAGGATTACATCAAAAACTCCCTGGACATTTTGAGGATAAGGGAATGATTTATCTTGTCGTGCTTCTTCACTGTACATTACTGTTAGTTAATGGAGAAAACTCTGCCAATCCTCTCTGTAACCTGAATAATTAGGAAGTCGAGGCTTTAAGAACTAACAGAGGGGATGCATGCAAACTAGAAGAGCTTGCTAAATACACTGTAACCTCCTATACAGGGCCTAGGCCACTTCCTTTTCCATGTTAACGCCATGAAAGGATGTTTTAAGACATATGGATTGAATTTATGACAGAGGGAGAAGGAAAATAGATTGGTCTGTCAAAAGTTTCAAGCAGAGGTGCATAGCTCTACAGAGGTGAAATAAGAAACGGGCAGTTGCATTAATAAACCAGGCTGGAGAAAAAAAAAAGTGGTGCAGATTTCCTCTGTCAGTCACTTTCAGGTGGTTTTGTTTTCTAACAGGGAATTAAATAAAGATTTGTAAAATGATTTAAATTGGCTCACAAATGAAAACATTTTCTCAGCTCTTCAGTTAATAGTTTGACAGGTATTGTGGGCAAGAGGAAACAGTTACGATTTATTCACTTTTCAAAAAATTGCTCATACAAGATAGTCATGGATAAGATTCGTGTTCTCATCTGTCTTAGGATAGCTGAGGGATCCCCCCTATGAATGAGAGAGAAATAAGGAAGTTACTAAGGTCCCAGTCATGTGCCAAAACTCAGTGATGTCACGGGGGATTTTCCCACGCGTTGCAGAAGGGTTTGATTCAGGCCCTCCTTACATAATGTTTCCCAACGGCTCACCAGGTCTGGCAGGCCTCAAGAGGTATGAGCTGGCCTAGGAATGAGAAAATACATTTCTCAATACTTCTTTAAATAGACTGGGAGGAGTTACTGAATAACAAGAACAAAGCAGAAATGTACCCCACAATCACTATGAGAGCACTTGATGGCTGTCATCAGCCATACTAAGCAGTGCTATCTGCTCTGGACCCACCCAAACTGAGAAATCTGTAGATAACAGATGTTATAAAGGTATAAACTGTAGGGACAATTTCTATTTCTCTTTGGTATTCACATGTCTGTATTTTTATATTTGTGGCAACACTGGTTTTAATTAAGGCTAACTGAATAAGCAAAACTACAGTTGAAATAAATCAATTCATGTCCCGACACTTTATTTCTGTTTGAAACTGTGTTAAAACCGTTGATTTATTTCCTGAAGTTCAAGAATGTGTTTTCCCCCACAGAACACCAATGTGAAACACCACCTAAATTGTGCAGCAACAATCCATTCAGCCATGTATACCACCGTTCTTAAAATATTTTCTCTGATGTGGGTTATGTTGCGTGCCTCACACTTATCCCTGACATTCTGGTCACAATTTTTTTTTAATTATCCAAGATTTTAAATAGGAGATTCAAGTCCAGGTGAAGTTAGTAAGAGTCCATTAATTTTAGCATGGCTTAGATTAAACCTCAAGAGCACAACAAGCTAAGTCGTCACCTCTCTGGGTTAGTGTGAGGCAACACCACATAGCAGCCCAATTGAAAGCACATTTGTAGCGCTGTGATCAAGACATGGCTGGCTAACAGTTGGTTTCCACAGCCTTTGAAATAGCAGCTGGAAATAAAGGCGTATTTATTCTACCTCAGTTAATATACAAAACCTGTTCACGGGCACTTGCTGCCAATACTCTTAAAACGCAGTCATGATTGGATAAAGTTCCAGTTAAGCAGTTACTTAAACTGAAATTATTCTGCCTGCCTGAAGATTTTGCAATTGTTGCCTGTAATTTGATGCTTTTTAATAGCAACCGAAAACGTTTCCACAGTCTGAGCTGGGTCCAGGGGAAAAAGTCTGTTCACACTCTTGGACATCTTTCTGCTTTAAGAGGTACAGCAGTTACGCTGAGAGCTTTGGCTAGCGCGTGACTGCTCCCATGAGCTGGCCTGTGCACAACCTGGTGCCGTTTCCCTGAGCTGGGCGATCAACCCAGCTCCCAAGTGGGGAACTTTCTGCAAGGAACACCAGGTTGAGCTCTGAATGTCCTATGACAGTTTAAGAGTCTGGGATCAAGTTCTGCTCTTCTGATATCAAGATGGAAGACAACACAAAGATTTTTACCTGAACTTTAAGATTTGAATGTTTCAAAATCTCCTTTCAGTTAATTTTTAAACTACGCCTGTTACCTTCACACTTCCTGCTCTTTGCATTCATGCAAAAGGACTAGCCATCAGGTTTCCCTTGCTGCAGTGATTTTCTCTGTACTTTCTCCACTTCAGTACTAACAGCCTTAATCTAAATCCTTCACTTTGGGAGAAAACTTCCTAGTGATTAACACGTCAGCTGTTTGAGGACTTTCAAACCCTTACATGATATCTAGAGGTTAAGATGGGGCCACCACAAGTGGCAAAGAGCCAGGAAGACTTGTCTGAAAAGCACTTAAAATCTGCTGTCTGGGATTCCTCACAGAAATTGCCCAGAGTACTAAATTCACTAGGTTAGAAATGCGCAACTCAAAATCTCAAGACCTAGCTGCGTTTATGACAGGTTAGGCAAAGAATCGTAAATATAATTAGGACAAAGGTGTACACAGCAAGCTACTGAGACAGAAAGAGTGGCTTAGAGGTTTTTTTTAGATAAATGTAGTAGTCTACAAGATAAATATAACATGTATTGACTTTTCCCTTTGGCTAGAACAAGAAAAGTTTTCTGGGCCAAGATTCTCTTTGTGTTTGCATCACACCTAAAACACTGGGGATCAATTATCGATCACTACCACAGTGCAAAATCAAAACAATAGGAGATGAGCCTCTATTTGGGGAAAACAAGCCAGAAATCAAAGCCCTCAAAAGGTTCAGGATCATCTTTAAAGATGACAAATTGTTTCTAAAAGCCCCTAATGCCGCAAAAAGCCACATATGTGAAATCAGAACTGCTGTGAATATGCTGAGGAAATATATTAGGAAACCCAAAGTAAGAAAAAATGGTTATGGTCTCCAGCGTCAACATACTTTTTTTCCAATATTTGGCTTGTAATAATTTCCATAAGAAACATTTTCAGAGGTGAGACAGACAGCTGATCCCAAAGAAGTGAGTGGTGATTCAGAAGGCCCAAAATTCTGAAGACAGATGGCAATGACCTGACTCCATTGAAGTGAATGGCCAAATCCCACCA